TTGATGGTGGTTTTTATGGTTTGGAGGGTTCAGGAGAAAAAAAACTGCTGGCAGTAGATTTTCGACCGTCAAGAAGGGGGGGGGAGGGGGTTGCACGGTATTGGAGATTATCGGACGTCAATTCCTTTCATGAAGTTGGGTATAGTCAAAGTAGAGGCGTTGAGGAACAGCTGGTGAGACCGGCCATAGTGTTCAGAGACCACAAACGCCATCGCTACGGTAGAGTCGATCAGTGGATTCAGAACCCAAAATTTGTGGGAGCTTTTCTGAATGCAAAAATCGAGTAATAGTTCTCTTAAATAAAGGATAATTTTGCAGAGCTTTCATACTCATGGGTAGTTTATTCCAAATAGCAATTGCGTTTACAGAATAGAACCGACGATATTTAGCAGTACGTGCCAGAGGCAGAAATAAAAAGACCTCACGGTGACTGTTACGTCGTGGGTGGATATTATTTCTTAAAGAAGTGAGTGGGTTAAATGTGTGATTATATAAGAGTTTAAATAGGAAAAATAGTCCCTTTTGTAATCTACGGAACCATAAAGGATCAAGGCCCGTAAGCCGGCAACGTTCTCGGTAAGACAAATGTCAGTGTTCTGGGGTTAAAATTTTCTTGGTAAAAAAGTGTTGAACGGATTCTATTTTCTTCCGCTCAGTAGCACGCATGAGGCTAAATAAAAACGAACAGTATTCCAGACCAGGTCTAACGTACATGTTGTAAAGGCGCATTCTGATGTCCCTAGTTTTAAAGTTTCGGAGGATAAACCCGGTCGTTCTGCGTGCTTTGGAGACTATCAAGCCACAGTGCTCCGAGAGATTGACACTCTTGGAGTATGATATGCCCAGATCCTTTATAATCCTAGTTGCCAACGGCAGTAACTCCTGTTCGAACGACTCTTCCGATCGCGTGCAGTGCATCGATGCGCAATCGATGTCGGACGAGTTAAAATCTCTAAGTAGCATTACTTTTTTACGGCAGAGTTACCTTACCTCAGCGATAAGTGAATCGGCTGTGTCCTTCCGCTGTCCTGGGAGTCTGCATTTACCAGGACGATAGGGAGGTCCGGCTGATCTCGTGCTCCCAGTATGCAGCGAAGGATTTCGCAACGAGTGTTTTCCTTCCTGCCCAGCGTAACTTCTGCGTCTGCTATTTGTTCATTTACCATGTTTCAGATGGGATTTTGAAGTCAGGTTGCAAATAGGTCACAGTCATTTTAATTTCATCCATTTGGTTTAACAGACTCTGCACATTCGTTTACATCACTGTCCTACTTTTTGTTCTCTCGATCTCCTGAAATTATTTGCTATTTCTTGCGCCGGAGGACTACAGCTACGTTTTTCGCGTGAAACATCCAGTTTGCTATCTGGGTTCGAATCTATAAGTGTTCGAATGGACTGATGCCCGCAGTGGTTACCTTTAGTTTCACCGACGGATTCAATATAAACATGAGATCCGTCCGTATAATTCCACCATCTACGTTTTCAATTTGTTTCTTCCTCATACTGACACCTTTTCAGTCCTTTCATCAGTGTCTTCCTTTTCATTTGATCGACGGGAATGTGGTCTGGCTGACAAAACATCCCATGGTGGTTGTTTCATAGCCTTGGCTTTCTTAGACAAGGTTAGATATGCCTATTGCTTGCCTCCCAACACCAATTTCAACGGTCTTGGTCGTAAATCTTTCGCGTAATTTATAACTAGAGGCCCCGAAAGGGGATCTTTTGATTTCAGTAACCTCTCTGGTTTGTGCATCATCATCTCGTAGGTACTGAAATGTCGACAGGTTGTATTTGATCTTCTCTTTTAGGCTTTAGCCAGGAACTTCAGAGAGTCACAGGACACGGTTGTTTTCCAGAAAAAAAACCTGTCTTCATTTTGCCTTCTTTTATTAATGATACATTGCAGCACAGACTTTGGTACTGCCTTTATCACTGTGATCACACAGCTCTTAAACGGTGAGTCTGGTAGTTGGTTTTCAGACGTTGCACTGGAACATTTGACCAGAATTACTTCTTTTGACATCGATTTCATCCGACTAGCTCCCGGTTAGCTTGTTGTTGCGCATGCGATGTCGAGGTTTGTCGCCAGTTTGCAGACGTTTGTGATAATCGCCCCGTTGCCTCACATAACATGTTGAATTATAGCTTGATGGGCATGCGCACGGCTTGCTCTCAGGACTCTTTCGTAGTATCGGTGACTCTATATGATTGCTGTTTTGTAATTTTTTAGGGTCGTCGATCGCTGACTTATTTTGTGCAGACGGACTCTGTAAACTTTGGATTTGCCGCACTTAGGGAAATGTAAGACCTACTTTCAATTCCATCTGTTATCATGTCCACGCGTATTTCAACAGAGTCAAAGGTTTACTCTATAGACATCGTTTGTTTTATCGATTTGGTCTGCCTAACACGGTATTTATCGAAGTTGTGGCCCGGCCAGTTGATGTTTTTCATGTCGTTCGGAGATAAGACTTACCGGAACACGAATTTCACACAAGTAAAATAACTCTGGAAAAAGCGCTTTCACTATCGCACCTGCCATTCAAGAAATGTCCCCTCCAGCACAGCTTTCGGAGTCTGGGTTGCGATAAGTCAGTTTGTTAAGGGAATAAAGCCTTCGCCCTTGGACCCCCTATTCATATACAAAACAGCAATAGAATCAATTGTTACATCAGTAATTCTGGAAATTTAAAAGTTATCGATATGTATGAGTCAGGCGCAAACGACCGCCAGTAACAGTCGTAATTATTTGCACGGTAGTTTCTCAACTGAGGAACGTCTAGTCTGCATTTAAACGATCCGACAGTTTCGGAAACAACCGCCGCGTCAGGGAGTCCGTTTCTTGCTACAATTACCCTCTACGAGAAGGCGTCCTGTCGGACGTCTGCATGGGTCGGCTTCCCCTGAAGTTTAAAGAAATGACAACGTTAACGGTCCGTCCCAACCAATTCGAAGAAGTCTTCCAAGTCTAGGTTACACTGACGTCCTCTGACAATCCGGCAGGTTTGAATGAGATCGCCGTGTGATTGCCTGTAATTAAGAGGGAACAGAATTGGTACAGCCAGTCAGGTTACGTAAGGTAGATGAGCAAGATTCTTGACCATCTTCGTGGCCATCTTCTTTCCTCACCTGGACAGCACACCCCAAGTGAGACTGGACGAAAGTCACGTAGGTTTTTCCGAACAGCTCCCTATGGTTCTGCACAAATTCTCGCTCAGCGCAAATAACACCCGTATCGCGCGTTTGACTGCTCTTATATCCTGTGAAGATTGCTTAAGGTAGGATGTCAATAGTACGCCAAGGTCTACCTTTTCCTCAGCATTTGAAAAGGGCTGCCTATTAAGGGGCATCGAAAGAACTCATCCTCCTTTCTGGTCTTCCTGATGCGGAGTCTCAGGGTTTCTTCACATTGGACATTCACAGTGCAAACATATCTCAACGAGAAATTTTCAACGTGCAACTGAAATGATCTTCATGCATGCCTGACTTGATACCATGTGATTTCTTTCTTTGGGTTTATGTGAAAGTATTGGTCTATGTCTCGTCACTTCCTACGTGTGTAGAAGACATCAAGGAGAGAATCATCGAGACGCTGAAGACTGTTATACAAGACATGTTGCAGTGAGTGAGACAGAAACTCGAATACCGAACTTATATGTGTCAAGTCACAATCAGCGAACACACTGAACATTTTTAATAACTTCGGAACATTTGAAAATAACCAGTTCACATATTTTGTGCTTTAAGTTTTGTAGAAGCGAAATTGTTATGTCTATAAGTAATCTTATTAAGCTTCGTTTATCTCCACCAAATATGAGCCCTCATTTGGACATCTCAAAGAATTTCAAGTTTTTTGGAACACACTGGACGATTATGAATGCACGAATTTAGTTAGAACGTAGGCAGACCACGCGAATTACTAGCTTCCATCTTCGTCTGCCGCTTTATTTTTGAAGCCAACCAAATCCCATTAAATCACCCTTCTTCTGATCCACCCCTCATGTTCATTAACGGCCTCTCTGCAAATATTTAGAAACAGATAAGCCGAGTTTAGTTGAAATTGACAACTTCGCGAACTCTCCTACTAATAAGCTAAGGAATTTTTCTCTTCTACTGACCAAATGACAGTGACAGGGTGTGCCAACCTACTGCGCAACTGAAAACTAGTGAAACATGTCTTACAGAAACGATTGTGATAGGGTTTAAGGGGCTGTGCATTAAACGCGAAATTAGGTGAATCGGAAAATGAAAACGTTAAATAATTAAAGTTCCGCATAAAAATCTGCCTTTACTTAGAAACAGAGAGGAAATTGAGCGCGAAAATTAAAAAAAACGAAAATTTCTCACTCAGTAGGTAAGAGGTTATCGAGTAAACCGCCACTGAGGAATTTGCATAAGGTCAGGTTTCAAGTTCATAAACAACCAATGGGTGCCGAAAGCAAGCGATGTGCGATAAGTGGCAAATGATGAATAACGTTCCAGCTGAAGTGAGGCAAATTAATATAAGTTGTGCAAAGAAAAGTAAATTAAGGTAAGCAAGAAAGTTTTTTAATGTGTGCGTAGGAGCCCAAGAAAGCAGTGTATCAGGAAAGTCAAAAAGGGCTGTTCACACCAAGAGAATACGCATAACGACAACTAGATGATAGACTTGACTTTCTTTTTCCTCTAACCAGCAGACTATCGGCATGAGTTAGCAGGTAAGACGGACGACCACAGCTGGATTTGCCCACAACGGCTAACGAAATAACGCGGGCGTTCACCTCAACACAGTTGGACGAGTACTGCAAGGGCGGAGAACTGCTGTCCATTGCTCAGATATGCGTACTCGGTAGTCCATTTAAGCACACTGGACCGACTGAAAATAAAACACTGCGAGAAATGATCGGTATCAGGTCGAGTTGTATGGCCTCATGCAGACAAATACGATATTTCTGTGGTTTGACCTGAACACAGACAGTCTCAATGGGGTGTGGGTAGCCGTCCCATTGTATGTGTGTGAGATGTGCTCTGTGCAAAAAGTGGAGCAGCAAATGGAGACCAACGTGGACCTCAACCTCCCGCCATCTCCCCAGGAAACCATCAGGGCCGTGCTGCAACTCTCCAGCGGGAAAGCACACGGATCGGACGCAATCCCTGCTGACGTCTACAAACACGGAGGTCCCCATCTCATGGATCACCTGACTGCGCTCTTCCAGGAGATGTGGCGTCAAGGTGAAGTTCCGCAAGATTTCAAAGAAGCAACCATCGTGTATCACTACAAGCGAAAAGGAAACCGCCAAGTCTGCGACAATCACCGTGGCATCTCCCTGCTGAACATCGCCGGAAAGATCTTCGCTCGCATCCTCCTCAATCGTCTAAATAATCATCTGGAACAGGGCCTTCTGCCGGAAAGTCAATGCGGTTTCCGTGGCCATCGCGGGACCACGGATATGATCTTTGCCGCCCGTTAACTTCAGGAGAAGTGCCAGGAGATGCGGACCCACCTGTACTCTACATTCGTGGACCTGACCAAGGCCTTCGACACGGTGAATCGTGAAGGACTGTGGAAGATCATGCAGAAATTCGGCTGTGCGGAGCGATGCACTCAGATGGTGCGTCAGCTGCACGACGGTATGATGGCGCGAGTCACGGACAACGGAGCTGTCTCCGAGGCATTCGCAGTGACCAACGAAGTGAAGCAGGGATGCGTGCTGGCGCCCACCCTCTTCAGTCTTGTGTTCTCTGCCATGCTGATGGACGCCCCTACGTGCTGAACGCCCAGCGATCCGCATCGCCTACAGGACGGCGGTCACCTTCTGAATCAACGACGGATGCACTTCCAATCGCGCGTATCCACAACCACCGTTCACGAACTCCTTTTCGCCGACGACTGCGCCCTGAACACCACCTCGGAAGAGGAGATTCAACGGGGCATGGACCTGTTCTCCGCCGCCTGCGAGAACTTCGGTCTGGTCATTAACACTCAGAAGACGGTCGTGATGCACCAATCGCCCCCTAACACCGCCACTCCCCCCAACGCGTCGCAAATCAGCGTGAATGGAACCCAACTGCACGTGGTGGAGAACTTCCCGTATCTGGGCAGCACCCTCTCGATTAACACCAAAATCGATGACGAAGTCGTTCGCAGGATCTTGAAAGCCAGTCAAGCCTTCGGCCGCCGCCAAAGCACAGTTTGGAATCGTCACGGTCTTCAACTGAACACGAAGCTGAAGATGTACAAGGCCGTCATCCTGCTGATGCTGTTGTACGGAGCGGAGACTTGGACAGTTTATACAAAACAGGCACTCCGACTGAACCAATTCGACCTCAGTTGTCTTCGTCCCATTCTAAGGCTGAACTGGTAGGATCGAATCCCCGAAACTGATGTGCTGGAACGGACGGGAATCCTCAGCACGCACATCATGCTGTGACAAATGCAGCTGCGTTGGAGCGGCCATCTGGTGCGCATGGACGACGAGCGACTACCCAAACGACTCGTCTACGTAGACGTCGCGACGGGTTCTCGTCGTCAAGGAGGCCAAATTCTCCGTTACAAGGACACCCTGAAGTCCTCCCTGAAGAGCCTGCAAATCAACCCGACCAACTGGGAAGAGCTCGCCCGCGATCGTCCGACATGGAGGAGGACAGTGATGACGGGCGCTACTATCGACGAAGCCAACCGCATCGCCGCTACAAAAGTAAAACGCGAAGCCCGCAAGTCCCAACTGCGCCCAGTACGCAACGCCGACGCACAACCCCTACCAACGTGTCCTCCATGTCAACGGACATTCCGGGCTCGAATCGGACTAACTGAGCATCTCTAACTGCACCATCCATCGTCCCCCCGTCCGCCTCTTCCTCGTCCTCTCTGCCGCCAACTACCTCTGGCAATTCTTCTGAACCAGCACTTCCATCTTCCTCCTCCTCCTCCTCCTCCTCCTCCTCCTACACCACCACCACTGCCCCAGCGACGGCCGCCCAGGCGACCATCTCGCACACCACCAACCCTGACACAACATCCGACATCACCCCCACTTCTCCCGACTCCAGCGATGAGGACCGGGACTACATCTGCCGTCACTGCGACCGCAACTTCACCTCACGCATTGGCCTAGTCGGCCACTTGCGAATACATCGCACAGAGACTGGCGGACCAGTGCCTGGAGCACCAACCTACACCCACCGCACTCGCCTTCAATACCCTCACTGCCCTCGCATCATCACGCATTGCATGGGTCTATTCGGCCACATGCGCATCCACGAGAGCGGAATTGGCCACAATTCCGACACACCCACCACATCCAACACATCCACCATGCCCAGCCTCACCGTCGTTCCATCGCCCGCGCCCATCACCACCGCCACCACCACCGCCTCTGTAGCTGACACCGACACCGCCGGCTTCTCATGCCCGCACTGTCCACGCACATTTACCTCACTCATCGGCCTGGTCGGTCACTTGCGAATCCATCGCACAGAGACTGGAGACCAAGTGCCTGGAGCACCGACCTATACCCACCACGCTCGACTCAACTGCCTACACTGCCTTCGCACTTTCAGGCATCGCATGGGCCTATTCGGCCACATGCGCATCCACGACGACCTGCAGTAGACAACCGCCGGTTACACCACACATCCACACACTCCCTACCTTCCGCCGTCATCACCCTACCACACATCAACAATCACCCATAGCATGCACCCAATTGCCATCTCCCACGCAAGTGGGAAACGTGCATCTCGACTCGGTCCCCATGCGGCCTCGGCTGCAGGGGTGACTTGAGTCCGAGACTATCCTGACACGTCAAGCGTCGTGGATAGGAAGGTTGCTGATTGACGCCTGCACTCGGTTCACGCAGTTCGTCGCGTTGTGTGTGTGTGCTGTGTGTAGTGGCGGACTGGTGGGCTGGGACGGACTGAAACAGCACCTTCCACGGCCCTCTCACGCAAGTGAGAGACACGCCGTTCAACCCCCGTTGTGTGAAATCCTGGTGTGTGTGTGCGCGCGTGTATGGGGGGCCAGGTCGTGCTGTGGCGAGCGCAGTCATGGTCAGTCGAACATGACAGCCACCGCGCTCATCTGCCACTCCAGTGTGCTGACCGGCTCAGACAGCGGCTGGGGTGTGTGGATGGGAAGGGAGAGTGAGGTCGACGACTCAGCGCACTACTCCTCACTATAAACAATCTGACGCGCTTGAAGCTATCACGGTGCGCTAAAAGCCGTGGCTTGGAAGGTTGCCAACTGACGGGGTAACTTGGACCTCCTGCTGACTGGTGGTGGTCTGAGAGTCAGGCTGTAATGGCTCCTTTTTAATGAGGCCTTTATGGCACTCCCACCACAGCGTGGGATCCGAGCCAGGCGTTGGCGGCACGCCTAGGTGCGACTTCGGTCGTGCCAGCCTCCAAACTCTGTTGTGTTGATCAAAATCCTGGTTATTTGTTGTGTGGACCAGGGGGTGTGGTGGAACGCCAAGGCGAGGATCCGTCCGAGCCATCCACCTGCGGCCTCCATCGTCTCCGGTCTTCTTGACTCTGTCTTGACACCGGACTCGGGCCGGGAGGAGAGAGTGTAGGTAGATGCAGCGCAAGTCTACTGGCACTTTAAACCCCTGCGCAAGTCACCGTCCCTGCTCCCCCCTGCTGTGGGGCACACGGTGGACATAATCGAAATCGATGGTCGAACTGTCGTGTGTGTGTGTGTGTGTGTGTGTGTGTGTGTGTGTGTGTGTGTGTGTGTGTGTGTGTGTGTGTGTGTGTATGGAAAAGACAGCATGGAAACTGCAGTTCATGTGCGAGAAATCACATAAGGAACGTTGGGAGCCCACTGTTGAGCTGAACCCCTCTCACCTGCGTTATACGTGTCTGGACTTCTAACTAGTACCTGCGTTGTCAGTAGAATTTGCATACCCCTGCCTGTCTCTTGGTGGCCTGTGAATACGATGTGGTTGCTTCGCGGTGGCTGATGAATTTCCACTAGAGTACTCCTACATTGAAAGCACTTTCGGAGCGGGCCTAAAAAGTTTTATTCTGAAGGAGTAACTCCAAGTTCGTTCATTAATTCCCTCGAAAATTAAAGAGGGCAGTTCCCCTGTTGTTAGTAAATTTAGCAATGTGCGGGGAGTGGCACGAAGTAAAAAGGCAGAAACGGCTTCTCTGTGTCTCCAAGGTTTCATACATTAAAATGAGACCACGAGCTACTACCAGAGATAAGTTACTCTGAAGTAGTTGTGAAAGAGAGCCATTTAGCATGCACAGTTTTATGAAACACTGCTTCCGGGAATTAGGACGATAATATGAAGATGGTGGGATTCAAGGCGAATGCCCGCAGGTAAATGTAAAAATAACTGCATCTTGCGTTATCTAGCACAGAATTAAAAGCTATAGAACCTGTATTAAGCAAGAACTCTGCGCCATTCCGACACTTTTCACAATTCAATTCTAGGCGGATGGCGAAATTTCGTTAATCCTGTTAATGCCGCTCGGCGATGCACGTCGTAAGATAGCTGCTGCCGAGACGCGCCGGCCCCTTTACAAAGTATACATCCACCAAAGCAGATTCTAGCATAGTAAGGTTATGTAGAATAGAGTGAAACAAATTTCGGTATCAATAGATAAAATAGGTAAGACAGGTACTGCCCTGTGCCGCGACTGTTTTCCACTGCGACATGCACACCTACCACTGCTGAGCGCGGTTGCGGAAGGCGTCCCTCGCGCTTGGACTGGAACCCCAGGGTATCGACGCCTGACCCTGGATATACGGTGTAGGACCCAGGTCATGAACTATGTCTAACTTGGTGAAAAATCACTAATCAGCCGGAAACCAATCCAAATGAATCCACTAAAGCGGTATCTTTACAATGAACGACGTTTATTTAAATGGAAACGCAACATAAAAATACGAAATACTGTTTCCGTTTTCACGTTTCATGAGTTGGGTCAGACAGTGTAGCTGACTGAAGACATCTAATGAGCTGTATATGAACATTCTCCTCGCCCCCTTCTCTGGCAGCATTCTTTTCTAGTCAGGCATCTTGTTACCCATTTTGTTGGCTTACTCTCTAAAGCTACGGAAGTTACTGCTAGAGTCAAGGCTTTCATTCTTTACTATCTGTCCTGCGACAAATCGAAAATAAGGTTCTACGCATTCCCAAACATCTAACCATTAAGCTCCGGAGAGAGTGATACTTATTCCCAAAGAGATTTTTTTAATTAGTGAGTTTTAAGCAGATCTGCTTGTTTTTCAGGAGTGCTGAGCTTCCGTCTTTTTGTCTGTTACTTAGCTCAAAACAGAATGAAGATCGATCTTCCCATCTGTCCGAACCTCCGGCATCGTCATTTTCGATTTTCGGATTATTTAATTTGTCATTCTACCACCGCTTTGATTTCCACTTTCCCTTTGTGATCTTATCACAGTTTTTCCTTAACAAAAGTATAAAGACGCCTTTTAAAGACGTTAAAAGCAACCGCTTCGGCACGGGCATGCACCAACAATCTTAATGTACCGGCTCAGTGACGCCTTCTTCCAAGCATGCACGCTACGGTTGTAAAAAATGAACGTAAATGGCATGAGACATCTTGACGTCAGTACTATTTCGTTTGACCTTTGATGAGGTCAGCAGACCAGTGCTTGAC